CGCTTGTCGCAGCAAGCTGCTTCGACGTCCTCCCACCGCCACGAGCGCGAGGGGCTGGCACGGGGGGAAGCAAGTCCGTCCGACGCCGCGAACCCGGGGCGCCGGGCGCACGTCCCACCGGCTCCGTGTCGGCCTCACTGGATCTCCCCCATGTACAGCCTTTTGTCGCTGGATGCGGAGAGTGCTGAGGGAGAGAGGGGGAAGGGAGGAATACGGAAATTAAACACAACTCCGGTGCGGAGACCTCCACCAACGACACACCGTCGGAACTGAGCTACTCATTTCGCGTGCTGTAAGCGATCTGGAAAGCCAAATTTCATTCGCCCCCCCCCAAAACCACCTCATGGAATTGCTGCTCTGCCACCCGATCGCACGCCGCGCATCCTGGCTGCCGCTCCCCTGTCCCAAGGCAGGTGCAACGGCGCAACGCCCGCAGTGCCTGCGCGGTGAGATGGCAGAGGGGCACGCAGACATGCCGTCACCGCTCCCTTCAAGCATCCTGGAGGGTTTGTCTCATGGCAGAATCACAGCATCCCAGCATGGCAGGGGTTGGCAGGGCCCTCTGTGGGTCACCCAGCCCAAGCTTTCGTATGCTTCAGGGAGTATTCGGACCCCAATCCGGGCCCGCATGCCGCTAGAGGGCGCAGGCTGGCCGGGAACCCTCGCCTCGCCGTTATTATTTCATCAGAAGAGGCAAAACGCAGCGGGCGCCCGACTACACCGAACCACCTCCCCCAGAAAAGGGCCCTTCAGGGGACTCGAGGCACAAGTGTTGAGAGAACGACCCAGAAGCGCTGCTCCTGACGCTGACAACGGTTTCCTTCGAGTCCAGGAGAGACCTGGGGGGTTTCTACATGGCGTCCCAGACCGGTGCCTGTCACCTCGCGGCCTCTGGCCTCCCCGCGCACCCGCCACGCAGACGAGGATCGCGGAGCGGGCGCGGCGATTTACGAGACGAACGCTCCCAGATGCTCACAGAAACCAATCGCGTAACTCGCGTGCAACGCCTCGACAGGTTTTTAGTTTTCGCTTTAAGCTGAGCGATGGGATTCACAGGGAGGAGCTCAGCAGGACACAACCGCAAACAACCCGCCCCAAACCGGAGAGCAGAGATTGCTCTGCCCCCTCCAGCACGGCCTCCCATCTGCAGACAGGGCAGCGAATACCCGAGGAACGCAGCCAGAACTCACCGCCCTGCTGCAGGGACTGTCACCCTCAGCACAGCACAGCTCTTGGCTTCACTTCGGGGGTGACTCGGGACAATTTTTGGCTGGAGCAATGCGGTGACCTGGCCGATGGTGTGGTGTTTCCACGGAAACAAACAGCACCCTACAGCCCTGGGCCGCGCGCCGCGCCGAGAAACCGGTACGAAACCTGGTCCCAGCTAACGCATGGGGGTTCAAACGGCTCTGAAAGAGCCAGCAGCGCTGATACGCAGCGCCACGCGCCAGGCACCTCTGGAACGGGGACAGAACCCGCTGCTCAAAGAGCTCTCTTTGCTTGCTCCAGCTTTTGGGTAAGTAGTAAGACCCCAGGCTGGAGACGAGCTCCCAGGTGATCACTGTCCTCCTGTGACCACCCAGTGTACGGTGCTATCCCTGCTGTCCAAACCTAGGTACCCCAAAACCTTTTTGCACGGCCCCTGGGAAGTCTGCACAAGCCCTAGGCAGCGGCAGCCAAGCCACAGCTCCGGGGCCACACCTCACGACCACCC